ATTCCCCGTTTCTCCTTCCCCTCGATTTCCGAGAAGTGGTTCACTGGGGAAAAAAAAATTACAGATCCCTTAAAATATCTATTTTATTTTTATATATTTTATTTTTTGCCCTTTTGCTTTTACCTAATCCATCCTCTTTTTTTTACTCTGCCACAACCCACGTCCCAGCCCAGACCCGACCCGGTCGAACCATCCACCCAAGCCAACCTTCGCCCACCCGTGCGGCCCCTTCGCCCTCTCCTCCCGATCGATCTTCTTTTCCCTCTCCACCCTTCTTCTTTCCTCAAAGTCTCGTGTCATCTTTTCTCCGTCTGGTCCTCACGGTGGCCCACCATGACGCCCTAAGTCTTTGGTCTTTCCTGGGTCGCGAATTTCGTCGCTTTAATCTAGCCGAATTCTCGCATGTGTCGCGATCTCTCTGTCTTCCCCCGTTGGGTCGATTTCACTCGGGCGCCATCTTCCTTTTCCCCCCCCGTGGGTGACGAACTGACTACACACCACCACCTTCACCTTCACCACTACCTCTACCACCACTACCTCTCCTACCATTGACCGAATTTCTACCAATTTCTTCGCCATCTTGCTCTTCTTCTTACCTCTGTCGATCCTCTTCCGCACTTGTGAGTGAAACAATCCTGTGTGTTTGCGTGGGCAACTGCCTGTGTATGCAGGTGTGGCGATCGCAGCCAACCGCCGTCTGGAGGCGTGCATGCGGTGCGGTGCAAAAGAACCCGGTTGTCTCAGAAAGGGTTTTGGCTGGTCCTGCACGTTACCATCATTCCTTTCAAAACCCCCCACAGGGAAGAAGGATTATCGCTCATTCTCCTGCTGGACAGCTGCAGCCAACAAACTCATTGTTCAACTGCGCGCACCCCCCTCGACGGCGGCTTGTCGCCGTCGCTCATCTGCTTCGCTCGTCGCTGCACACTCTTCTTTCTCTATTTGTCGCCTGCTTCTGTCGTCGCTCGCATCTTGTGCAGACCGTTGCGTCCAGTCTCTGAACCTCGCTGACCCAGTCTAGAACCCAATTTAGAATCCAACTGTATAACGTCACCGATCGCAAGTCTCTCCTTTTTCTTACTTCGACCTTCTCAACGCTCCTTCGCTCCTCTTTGTACCCTTATACCGGCCGTTCGTTTCTCCCTGAGATATCTCGACCCTCCCACTCCACCTGTACTACCATATCCATCAACCATATGAACCCGAGTTCGGACCGGCTAGGCTGCTATCTCTTCTCCTTTCACATCTGTTGCTGTCCCGAGACTTGACATTTTCGGAGTGGAGACCCCCTAGGTGATGGGTGTTTCAAATCCAACCGACACCATGGATGGCATCGAATGCTCCGCAATTTATATCGACCACCGCGTCCGATCAGAACGCTGGGTGTATCAAGGTACACCGGAGGCACCGGCAGGCGCGGAGTCGGATTCGGGAATAATTGAGGAACCAGAGTCGCTGTCGTCCGACGTCCAAGTTCTGTTAGGAGTTTGTAAACGCATCTATCTCTGTCAGGTCGGCACAGCTATCGCAAATAAGTTAGCAGAGATAAGCGACGGGGCTCAGAGTCGCTGCACACCTATTTTCGTTTTCTTCGATATCGATATACACGGCGAGGAGGCCGCTCTGCAGCGCCGCCGAGCAAGCCGTGGTTCGTGGCCGGATGTATCGCCTCCGTCGCCGGCTTCCCTGCGTCGCGGCTTTACATTCACCTCACAGTGGGAAGGGGCGTACGACCTGAAGTTGTTGTCGGGATTGTCCGCGGACATCCAGGTTCAAGATGGCCCCAATGTGATCGTTCCGGTCGCTGTTCTGCGCCCTCCCTTCGCCGACCCCACTAGCGCCTCCCCGGCCGACCAGCCCCGTATTCCGTCTTTCCCTGATCCCCAGCATATCTCCAAGTGCCTGGATGCCGGTGCCGTGGACGTGTTAGTAACTCCGCTGGATAGCTGTAGAGCTCAAGCTCTGGTTGTCCAGGCGTACCGGACTCGTAAAACGGCTCTCCGGGAACAGTCGCGCTTCCTCTCCCGAAAGAAACTGCGGAAGCATTCTTGGGTGGGCGTTAACGACGAGCAGCCTTATGCGTATCTTCGAGAAGCCATGGTCTCCAAGCTTATGCGAGGCATCTGCAATCCCGAAGAGGTTATCGAAGAGTTTCAGGACCGGGAACTGGACGTTCGTCCCGACCGTGCGGATTTTGTAAGAGAACACATTGCACAATGGGGTTTTACCGCCCATGAGTTTTCGGACGACGAATTGGTCTTGGCTGCATTCGAAATGCTGCAGCATGCTCTGCAGTACCCGGAACTGGAGCAGTGGCAGCTGACACCAGGTAAGTAAATTTGCCGCACATATCATTTTAGTCTAGGTCAACTGACGATTGAACTTCCTTTGCTAGGTGAACTCCGGACGTTTCTCCTGGCCTGTCGCGCCTCATATAATTCATTCGTCCTCTACCATAACTTCCGACACGCGATCGATGTGTTGCAGTCGGTTTTCTGCTTCCTGTTGCACATCGGCGCTCTTCCCCCCTATGGGCCCAATAGCCCGACGATTGACGACAAATGTCCGATGGCATCCCTCCTCACACCGTTCGATACCCTTACCCTTCTGATCTCCGCCATTGGCCATGATGTCGGCCATCCGGGCGTGAACAACTTTTTCCTAGTCAAGCTGAATGCCCCGCTGGCACAGCTATACAACGACAATTCAGTCCTGGAGGCATTCCACTGTGCTGCCTTTTCACAGATCCTGCGTCGCTACTGGCCGACCGCGTTCAAGGATCGACAACTTCGCAAGCTTCTGATCAGCTCCATCCTCGCTACCGACATGGGAGTGCACCAGAAATTCATGGAACGGCTAGGATCGCTCCAGGAGAAGTTCCACGAAAACAACCGGACCGTGGATGGGTGGAAGCCCCAGGACTTGGAGCTTTATAAGACACTGCTGTGTGGGCTGCTGATCAAGTGCGCTGATATCAGTAACGTGGCGCGCCCGTGGGATGTTGCGGAGAAGTGGACCCAGATCCTGCAGGAGGAATTCGCCAATCAGGGCGAGATGGAGAAGGAGGTTGGGATGGAGACTGCACTATTCGGCGGCCCACCGGAATTGGGGAATATTTACAAGCTTGCCACCGGCCAGATTGGATTCATGTCGATTTTCGCTCTGCCGCTGTTCGAGGGCGTCTCTGATATCCTGCCCGACCTGAAGTTCACGGTCGAGCACATCCGCAGCAATCAGTCCAAATGGCACTTCCTCGCCGACATGGAGAAGAACCGGCAAACCTTGCAGATTGATCTTCGCCCGGACGATCTGGTGTCGCCCCGCACTCAGAGTCCCATCCCGAGTTTGAGGGGCCTCCACGCGCCGCTAGCCATCAATAGTCCGAAAACGCCCATCAAACCAGCCCTTCCGACCAGTGAACCTGTGAGTCAGCGGTCAACTGCAGATGATTATTTTGGTACTGCTTCTACCCCGCTGGCCTCGGACGATTCTCCCAGCGACTACAATGAGAATACCATTAGCCCAGTTGTTTCGCCGGACACCCCGGGCCCGTCTATGGACATCACCGGGTGTTCGATGCCGTCGCCAGATGAGGCCGCCTCCCGGAGATCTTCGGGGGTCATCCCTGAGGGGCAGACCAACTCGCCTTCTGCCCGTCTGAGCGATAATATGGACGGCTGCTCCGACGCGATTCGTGCTTCGAGTGACCCCACTGTCCTGGCAGCTGTTCTCTTTGCCAATGGATCTGCTGCAGGCAACGGCGACACGTCGGGTCGCTCCAGCGCTCGTAACAGCTCCGTGGAAGGAAGACCGAGTAGCTCGCGACATGGGCCGCCCAGTGGTCGACGCCAGCACGCGAATACAGCCTCGTCGGGACGCACATCGGGGCCCTCGAATTCACAGCGGAACAGTTGCACTCGCACCCACAGCGTCAGCACCTACAGCAATAACATGACTCCGATCTCCCCGTCTACGAATGCCACTAGCTTCCTCAGCGTGGACAGCGACGAGAAGGGCTTCCCCCGCGAAAGCATCAGCCGGAGTGACGGCGAATGGGACCGGGCCAACACGCGACCGGCCACATCGAACCACCCATCGGTCAACGCTGCATACCCGAGCACCCGCCGGGCTTCCGATCCGCACAATTACGATGCTGCGAAGGTGACGTCGCCGGTGGGGTATGGAACGAGCAGCTCGGCACAATCCACGACGACGACTGGAAGCATGAAGCACGAGGGGCGTGGGCCCCGGTGGGACGAGCACGGGTCCAAGGAGCACGCACCTCCGCGCAAGTTGCCGAAGCGACGAAGCCGACTGCGGTTGGCGTTCTGGAAGCGGCGCACACATCACTCGCATCAGCACGAGCTGAGCGGAGAGACGTGATGGCACGGAAAGTTGATTGGATTTCAGTTTTCTCTTGTTTTCTCGGTTGGGATGATTCACGGTGTTCCTGGCAGGTTGGATTTTCGCGAGTGAGCAAAACGAGGGTTGGGATTACATGGGCACATATGAATGGGAAACATTCTGGTGACGACTCTGGATTTTATGATGGAATTGCATGATTTGACGACCGGCTCGGTGGATATAGCTATATCTGAGCTTTTTGACGATGATGCTCAGCCAGACATTGCCTGGTCTGGCTGGCATAGCACTTTACTTCTTCGATACTCTTCTTTCTTTCATTCTCTTCTTCCGATCTTTTTACATTTTTCACTTCACTTTATTCATTTTACACATTGACCATTTTCATTTTCATTTGTCACCATACAGAGGCGGACAGGACGGGGCAACTAGAGACGGGGCGTGGACTGGCGTTCTGGAGGTGGCTCAGGCAGGACTGTACTTGATATTTGTATGGGTTTTATATTTTTTTATCTTTCTAAATGGACTTGAGCATATATGCTTGTTTGCATTTACATGATTCTTCTATCATTGACGGAAGTAGACGGTCACTGACACTCCTCACACTTCTCTTCTCCTTTCGTAGCAGTAGCAGCACTAGTAGTAGACTCCTGCTCCTGACTCTTCCCCACGACCTTTTCATCCCCATCCCGACTCTGCACCGGCACATTCGCAGCCCTCAAAGCCCGATCCGTATGTCCCAAATCCCTACTCGGATCGACGACATTCCTCACCAGACTTTTCAGCACTTTGACTTCTACAGAAATAGCCAATTGCCCATTAGCCACCCACCCAATCCCATCTCTACCCATACAATAGAATTACAAAAAAGGAAAGATACATACCAGGAAACCCCCCATTCGTTTTCCTATCCCAGAGAATAGTCTCAGTGATATCAACATCCTCACCTGTACCTGTACCTGTACCTACCTCTTCCCCTTGCGTACCCGTCGAAGAAGTAGAAGAAGAGTGATACATCGTAACAGTAAACACACCCCCCGTAGCAGGAACGAGAGCTACTTCGCCGAGTTGGGTGCTGAATGTGGAGAGGAGTTCTTGGGCGAACTGTTCCATATATATTAATTAATCAATCAATCAATTTATATTAGTGTATATATATATATATATATATATATATATGTGCGTGTATGTGGATATGTATGTATGTATACGGATGGACATGTAAGGTACGCGGGGGGTGGGAAACTCACGTATGCAGCGCGCAGTAACCATTTACATTGGGTGCAGTATTTGATGGTGATGCGGGGGAGGTGGTTGTGCATATTTCCTTGTGGTGTTGTTGTTGTTGTGGTTGTGGTTGTGGCGGTGGTGGGTTGGGTGTGGGGTGGGAGGGGAGAGGTCATTTTCTTTTCTTTTCTCTCTCTCTTTTGTTTATATCTTTGGTGGTGGTGGTGGTGGTTGTGGTGAAGCTGAAGAGGGAACGGGGGAGTTAATTGTGTGAAGAAGAGGAGGGGGATGATTGGATGATGTCAGCGGGTGGGTAGGTGGTGGTGGTGGTGGGTTTTAACTACTTAAGTTAATAACTTGTCAACTATAGTAATGTCTAATGTACGGCCAGTGCAGGTGTCAATCTTAAAAAAAGTATTCTCCGAAGTCCGGGTCGTTGCATATGATCCATTCTGTGATCTGCATTTTCTTTCTGCACATCCTCTGGGTTGCTGCAATTACTATGTGGTATAAGTATGAGCAGTTGCTTCAACTATATTAACTAGCCCATCTATACTACAAACCGGGCGTCCGATTTTGTTTTCCCCATCCCGTTTCCAATATCACTGCTAAAACAAAGGAAAGATGTCCAATAAAATCACTAGAAGGGAAATGACTCCTGTCGAGCACTCTCTCACGCCCAACACAAAATGAGAAAGGAAAAAAAGTAAGGGAAAAAAGGTGTAACTGGAAGCCCACGGGGAGGCGTGTCGCGTTTCAAGGCGAAAAAACAGATCATGAACTGGTCCAATGGTGTGACCGCTCAGTCCCTCCCAGTTCATGCAGGTCCAGCGCGCTCCCTCGAGGGCCAGAGCCTCGCATCCGCTTCTCCGTGGCCAATTTTTTCTTTTCGTCGCTGACAATGCTCACCATTCGGAGCAACAAGGCGGATGGGCTGTCCATAGGTCCAAGGTATGGTGACAGAGAATTAGATATAGAAAGAAAAAGAAAGGGTCGAGAAGTTAAAAAAAAGAAGTGGTGAGAAATAGTAATTGTCATCGCAAGAGGGGATATAAAAGCGCCGACGGACTGACGGCGACCCTCAGTCCGTCCGATTCAAAAGACGTGGAAATGTCATGAAACCATTACATGACCGTGCAGCATCCTCCCTGCTGCTGAGGGGCGTATGGGTCCTCACGCTTGTCAACCTGCGCGACCGTCAGTAACCTGCCGTTATTCTTGCACAACCGAAAATGGCGGAGATGATGTCGCATACCTGACCCCATACGGATGGTACCATGAAATCGCGCGTGTTGTTGCAGTAGTTGATCAACCTGGATAAAACGCGACGGGGGGTAAGTATCACGCGGTGGCTGGACGGGAGGGGGCGGAGCACGACAGACAGCCGGGGAAACTTACGACAGAGCAGCCTCGGACACCTTGACACGAGGCCGATCGAGGTCCTCCTTCAACCGAGCATTGAGCTCGGTCAGACGACGGTACTTGAGATCGGCCACACTCTGCTTCTTGTTCTTGACATCACCACCCGATCGGAGCTCGTAGGCAGGCATTTTGACAACGGTCGGAACGGGACGAAAACGTGCGAAACCCGGGAAGTTAATCGATTTAAGTTGGAAACGTAAGCGCGATGATGAGATCGGGCGGCGGCGGCAGCAGTAGCAGCGGAAGTAGGAGAGACGTTGGGGGGGGGGAGGATGAGCTTGGTGGAGGAGGTGGAGAGGAAGCAATGTGATGTGTTGGATGGGAGGTGGTGGATTCAGCAGGATCGGTCGGGCGGCTCAGCTTAAGGTTCTTTTTTGCGCGTCGAGCCGGCAGGAAGTAAGGGGAAAAGCAAAGCCGGGCGGGAACGGCGGGCGGACGCGAAAAGGGAGGAGGTAGTGGTGGTGGGAGGAGGAACTTCGGGGATGGAGACGATTATGAGGGAGGGAGGGAAGAGGGAATGTAAGTGGGAACAGCGACCGGAGGAGGGAGGGAAATGAAGAAGAGAGAGAGGGGGGTCTCCGAGGAATTGATTTCTAAAGAATGAATGGAAGGGGGAAGGGAGGCTGAACTCGACTTCACGATATTGAACGTGAGTAAGAATCAGACAAAGGAAGTAAGAAGAAGAGGAAGAAGAAGAATTAGGGAGAGCAGGAAGAACCAGGAGGATTTGCTGGGCAAAAAGGAAAGCGAACGACTACTGCTGGACCGGAGGGAAAAAGGGAAAAAAGGGAAAAAAGAGGGGGGGGGGGAAGGAGGGAAAAGAGAGGGAAAATGGGAAGTTAGTTTAGTCTTAGTATTAGTTGAGTTTGGTTAGTAGTAGTTTGGGGGGGAGGAATTACTGGCAGTAGCAGTATAATTGGAGAAAGAGAGAGAGAGAGAGAGAGAGCGAGCGAGCGAGAGAAGAGGTGGTCTGTGAGTCGCAGGGGCAATCCGTTCATTTCCCATTGGAATCCATAATTCTTCTTCTTTCCCCCCCCTGAACTTAACTAGTCACTTTAGTTGGTAGCTGGATAACTAACTAACTGGATAGCTCGGATGCAGTCAGCACAAAAGGCTTTCTAACAGGCGTTTTTCCGTTTTGCGTCAAGGTTGCACCCTCCCTCATGCAGCTTTCTTTGCACCTCTGATTCTTATTATAGCCATGAATTGAATTGTTTGTTGTAGCATTATTTTATGGAGGAGGCTCATTAGCCTCACATGGATGGATCACTGCTTGATCCATACCATCCAATCCCTGAGCACTCTTTCCCCCCCATACTACTCCGTAGCTCCTAATTATACTCCCGCCCCCTTCTTCATCAGCAGCAGCAGCAGCAGCAGCAGCAGTACTCTCGTTTGCTATCGCAACCCTGTCAATCGTATGTTTTATTTCTATCTAGACACACTAGTCGATGGTTCAGAAGCTTGGACGCGTTCATAAACAACCTGTTCTTACTTCCTTCCAAGTGATCGTCTCAAACGGGCCAAACAGTGTCCCCCACTGCCGAGTTACGGAGGCGAGACGAGGGAGGAATGAGAATAGCTCCCCGAGGTGGCTGAGGAGCACAACCGCCATACCGCCACCCTCAAAATGGGGGATATCGACAGAATTAAAGGTATGCCTTCAATGGAATGGAAAGAAATATATGACTACTACGGTTCATTCCATGGGGCAACTCCGTGAATCCCAAGCCATAAACACGGGGATACCACGTGACCCGCATCGCTTAACCCAAAGTGGGAACGGCGGCGGCCGGAATTTTCGCGGTTCGCACAACGAGAGAGTCAGAGAGCGAGAAGAGAGAGTCGCCCTTGTCTGTCTTTCTCAACAAGATTGACTGCCTGACGTTCTCTTGTCTGGGTCTTTCTCGCCGACCGTCGCGTGGCAGCCTTTCTATCTTCAAGGCTCTTTTCGCCCTCGACTCCCCTGCTGCCCGCCCGTCGTTGTGCGATCCGACGTGCCTTTTCTTCCCTCTCGACCTTCTCCCAGTCGAAGGATAGCATCGTCGTCCTCATCCACCATATTGTGATCGCTTATCCCAACCCGCTATCTCGCCCACCATGCCGCCTCCGCCTCACATCAAGCCTGAAAATGTCCTCAAGGTACGCCAGCCCGGTTACTTCTTCCGAATACTATCTCGATTATAATGTCGAAGTGATGTGTCGTCGTGGGAATGGGATGGGAAACCATATGGTGATGGAAAATTCATGCTGACCGGTATTTTGTCCGCAGAGGGCTCAGGAACTCATCGCCGTGGGCCAGGCCCCCGCCGCCCTCAACGTCCTTCACGAACATGTCACCTCCAAGCGGACGCGCAGCAGCCCCATCGCCTCTCTGGAGCCGGTGATGCTCCTCTTCGTTGAGCTCTGTGTTGATCTTCGCAAGGGCAAGGCCGCCAAGGATGGTCTCTACCAGTACAAGAACATCGCCCAGAACACCAACGTCGGAACGATCGAGGTAGGAGAAATTTTTCTTTTACACACTACATCCCCCTTTCATGCTCCCCCGACCAACAGCATCTAACCCTGCACCGGTATAGGTTGTTCTCAAGAAGTTCATCGAACTCGCCGAGAAGAAGGTCACCGAGGCTCAGGCCAAGGCCGATGAGATTCAGTCTTCTCTCGAGTCCGCTGCCCCTTCGTCCAACGTGGACGATCTGGAAGCCATCGAGACCCCCGAGACCATCCTGCTCGCCACCGTCTCCGGTGAGCAGTCCCGCGACCGCACTGACCGTGCTGTTGTCACCCCTTGGCTCAAGTTCCTCTGGGAGACCTACCGCACCGTGCTCGAAATCCTCAAGAACAATGCCCGTCTTGAGGTTATGTACCAGACCACCGCCCTGCAGGCCTTCCAGTTCTGTCTCAAGTACACCCGCAAGACCGAGTTCCGCCGTCTGTGCGAGCTGCTCCGCAACCACGTCCAGAATGCCGCCAAGTACTCCGCTCAGATGCACGCCATCAACCTCAGCGACCCGGACACTCTCCAGCGCCACCTGGACACCCGTTTCCAGCAGCTGAACGTTGCCGTCGAGCTGGAGCTGTGGCAGGAGGCCTTCCGCAGCATTGAGGACATCCACACCCTCCTCAGCCTCAGCAAGCGCCCCGCCAAGAACGTCATGATGGCCAACTACTACGAGAAGCTGGCCCGTATCTTCCTGGTTAGCGAGAACTACCTCTTCCACGCCGCGGCCTTCAGCCGTTACTACAACCTCCTCCGCCAGTCCGCTGCCGCTCTGGCTGCTGGCCAGGGCACCAAGAAGGAGAACCCCTCCGTCACCGAGGCCGACATGACCAAGGCCGCCTCCTTCGTCCTGCTGTCCGCCCTGTCCATCCCCGTCATCAGCACTTCTCGCTCCCGCGGTGCCCTGGTCGATGTGGATGAGGTCCGCAAGAACAAGAACACCCGTCTCACCAACCTGTTGGGTATGGCCTCTCCCCCCACTCGTGCTGTGCTGTTCAAGGATGCCCTGAACAAGGGTCTGCTCAAGCGCGCCCGCCCCGAGATCCGTGACCTCTACAACATCCTGGAGGTGGACTTCCACCCCCTGTCCATCTGCAAGAAGATCACCCCCATCCTCAAGCAGATCGGTGCCGACCCCGAGATGGAAAAGTACGTCCTGCCTCTGCAGCAGGTCATCCTGACCCGTCTCTTCCAGCAGCTGTCTCAGGTCTACGAGTCCGTCGAGCTCAAGTTCGTCTACGAGCTGGCTCAGTTCCCCGACCCCTTCCAGATCACCCCCTCCATGATCGAGAAGTTCATCATGAACGGTTGCAAGAAGGGCGATCTCGCCATCCGCGTCGACCACATCTCCGGTGTCCTCACCTTCGACACCGACGTCTTCTCCTCGGCCAAGGCTCTGCACCCCGGCAGCGCCGCCGGCTCCGCCGAGAGCGAGGTTGGCTCCGTCCAGCGCCTGCAGAACACCCCCGCTGAGATTGCCCGCCTGCAGCTCACCCGCCTGGCCAAGACCCTGCATGTGACCTGCATGTACGTCGACCCCTCGTACAACGAGGCCCGCCTGCAGGCCAAGCGTGCCGCCCTTGCTCGCGCCGAGGCTGGTGCCGCCAAGGAGCACGAGGAGACTCTGGCTCGCCGCGTCATCATCGAGAAGAAGAAGGAGGCTGCTACCGATGCTCTGCAGCGCAAGCAGCGCGAGGAGGAGACTCGCAAGCGCATCCGCACCCAGCAGCTTCAGGAAGCCGAGAAGCAGCGTCTGTTGGATGAGCACCGCGAGCGTGAGAAGAAGCGCATCAAGGATGAGCAGGATCGCATCCGCCAGCAGGAGCTGAAGAAGCAGCTGGAGGAGCTTAAGACTGGCGTCAAGGGCATTGATATCAGCGAGCTTGACCTGAACGAGCTGGATGCCAACCGCCTCCGTGCCATGAAGCTGGCTCAGCTGGAGAAGGAGAAGAACGAGCTCAACGACCGCATCCGCACCACCGCCAAGCGCATTGACCACCTGGAGCGTGCCTTCCGTCGTGAGGAACTGAAGCACATCCCCGAGGACTATGAGAAGCAGAAGCAGCACGACATGGAGATCTACGAGGCCACCAAGGCCGAGGCCCTCAAGGAGGCCGAGGACAAGCACAAGGAGGCCGTTGCCCTCAAGCACCGTCTCAGCCGCCTGGTACCCCAGTTCAACAGCTTCCGCAAGGAGGTGTCGGAGAAGCGCCACGAGGAGTTCGAGAAGCGCCGCAAGGCTGCTGAGCGCGACTTCGAGGCCAAGAAGAAGCAGCGTATCAAGGAGGTCCAGGAGCGCAGACGCCGTGAGCGGGCCGAGCGTGAGGAGGAAGAGCGCCGCCGCAAGGAAGAGGAGGAGCGCATCCGTCGCGAGGAAGAGGAGAGAACCGCCAAGGAGGAGGAGCGCCGCCGCGTCCTGGCTGAGGAGAAGGCCAAGCGTGAGGAGGAGAGAAAGTCAGTAGTCCCCCATTCCATCTCAACCATCACTCAATCCGCGCAAAACCACTGGTTGCTAACCCGCCTTACAGGAGACTCGATGAACTTGCTGCCAAGCAGAAGCAGCGTGAAGAGGAAGCCGAAGCTCGCCGTGCCGCTCGCCGGACCGGTGGTGCTGAGCCCGAGGCAGCTCCTGAGCGTGCTGCTCCTACTGAACGCACTGCTCCTCGTCTCAACCTGGCTCCCCGCACCGGTGGTGCTGGTCCCAGCTGGAGAGAGCGTCAGGCTGCCAAGGAGGCTGCTGGTGGCACTCCTGCTGCTCCTGCTGCTGCTGCTCCCGAGCCTGCCCGCGAGGAGCCCGCTCCTGTGCGCAGAACTGGTGGCTACGTGCCTCCTCACCTGCGCTCGGGTGCCAGTGCTACCCCTGCTGCCCCTGCTCCTGCTCCTTCCACGGAGCGCTACGTTCCCCGTGCCATGCGCGAGGCCGGCTCTTCCCAGCCCCCCTCCCGCACGCAGACCCCCGGCTCCAGCTCCGACAAGCCCGAGGAGTCCAAGCCTGCCGCTGGCAAGTGGGTGCCCAGATGGAAGCAGCAGCAGGGTGGCCAGTAAAACGCATGATGACATGAAAAAGTTCTTGGGATGTTTGATGAAAGGGCGCGTGATTTGAGTCAACCTTCCTCTTTTCTCTTTTTTCTCTCTCTCTTTCATCCTTGTGGTATAACACACAACTCTCATCCACCTTCAAACACTTTTCCGCCCCGCCTCCCCATCTTCATGTTCGCATAGTACCTTTTTCCTCCTTAGCCTCAAACCCGGTACGATTTTTTTTCTTTTCTTCTTCCTCCAACCAGTTCCTACTACGTCTTTTAGTTGTTTTAGTCGATGAGGTATGAACCTTTGTGAGGAGAGAGACAGAGAAAGACATCGGGGGTTTTTTTACCATGAGGTTGTAGTTAAAGCTCTTTGCCTCCTCCCCCACTGCTTGATTTTAAATTTCTTTTTCTGGGCATGCCATGTCAATTGATTGATTGATTTGTTCTTACATTACCCGATCTCATGGTTTCCTTACCAAATGCATAGTATTTTCTTTCGTTCTTTACGTTGATATTTTGAATTGTAGTGTGAGCATCACTACACAGTAACCACATTACACAATAAGTAAATAGAGTATGATCGTCATGAAAACCACTGGCGATTCGTTTCAAAACCCACTAAGTGCATAGTAGTCAGTAGCTACTTCATACTACCTACATACCTATTGTCTATAAACCCTTTTCTCCCGCACCCCCAAAAGAATAGTGCCCTCTCCACCCTGCTTCCATTTCTTACCATACCTGAATACAGAGTTATACCTCTAATTACTAATCCCCAGACTGGCAGTGCCGTTCGTTGCTATAGTTTCCTCAGTTCAGTGTGACCATCTACATTTTTCTTTTCTTTCTTATTCCCCCCCAATGCTCTAGCTTGATTCTAATACAAGAAATAGGTCGGTAGGTAGGTAGACAGGGAAATGGTATCTTGTCTTGTCATCAATACCTGAAACAGACTGTGCAACTGGTGAAACTGTACCTGTGACAGATTACTCGGGGATTTGTTAGGGGTTTGGTAACACTAATTGGTACGCAGACCAGAGTATGTAAAAGGGAAAGGTGAAGATGTATCAGTCAATCTTCAAGGATCTATGAAGTTCGCTTGGAAATTATGATAACGTTTGATAAGAAAGATACCAGGGATGTGGGGAATTTAATTGTATGTACTTCTATGGTTTCAAATTGGAAAAATGGAGGTTTGGATGTGCGGGTCATGAGATATTATCGATGAGAGATTTTGGCACTCAATATGATCATGCTTTGCTTGGACTCGATGGAATGAAGTTCTGGAATATGTAGGTGGGTGAACATGAACAGGATGAACCCAGATGAAATAATCTATATACTAGAAAGGAAAATTGCAAAAGGGGGTATGGCCGCTATCTCTGGCAGTAGTACTCGAGACATTATATCTGGGATGTCAAGGGCAACAAAAAGGAAAAAGACAAAAAGAAATTTATCCCATGAGAAGAAAGAAACTGGTAGCATCCGTCCTTGTCTATATCCATTATCCCTCCCCCTTTACCTTTAGGAAATAGTCATCTCAAGCAGCAGCCACTTCGGCTCCAGCAGCTGCTCCAAAGAGCTTCTCACGCCATTCACCGCACACCGCCTCGAAGCCACTGACTACGTCTCCGCAGACTCGGCCGGCTTCGCGATCCCGAAGTCGGCGGTCCCAGTCGCCTCGTTCGATCCACCGAGTCCCCTCTTCAACACCTTCTTCCTCGCGGCGGAGGTCGGCTACGAGTTCGCGAGCAGACCGGAGTCGTCGTGATGCAGTGGACGTTAGCTGCCGCGACTCATACAACGTATCGCTCAGGCCTCGGAGCGACAGGGTGATGTCGGATGTCTGCGACACAAGGGTCTGCAGCGAGACAAGAGGGTTCAGGGCCGGTGACTGGGAGGGGGTAGTGGGTCTCGAGGAGTGACGTGGCTGTTCCGGGAAAGGATAGGGGAGGTTAGGCAGGAGTTCTTCGTCGATGAGAGGAATGAGCGCGTCTATAGCGTCTGAGGAAAGGAGCGGAAATGGCGAGAAAAGGAGAGGGTGGGTGAGGGTCTGAAGTGCCCGCGTCTGATGGGTAAGATGTGAGGTGATGGATGAGTGTGCGGTGATGAGTCTGAATGTAAAGAAAGATGTGTTAGCCAGCTATGATTCCGAGCAGACAGAACAGCCTGCCAAGTCACAGACCACAACAGATCCACCTACCTCATCGCGTTATTTTCAATCCCACTCTGCCCGCCAAGATCCCGGAGAGCTTCCACCGCCCGTTGAATAACGAAGTCATTCTCGCTGCCATTGTTCTCTAATCCGCGACGAGCCAGACTCTCAATCTCCGCCATTTGCATCTCTAGGCTAGGCGGCATATCCGCTTCCTCGAAATCCGAATCATTCCCATAATCGGAGCCATCATATTGCGACTCGTGTCGCCGGTGGCGATGGGCACCATTACGGGTCTTGGGCCTCGGAGGCTGCAGAGAAGAATTCCGTTCCGACGAGTAGCCCGATGAGGGTGTGCGGGCCCCGGTGCCCATGCGGTGGTATGCATCTTCATCGTCACTGCGGTCCACGTACTGTGCGTCAGGGGCCCCAGTATCCTGGCCCGACGTGTATCCGTAACCACCTTCCTCCTCCTCCCATGCATCTGCAAGCTCATCTGCCAAGTTTCCTAGTCCGCCGCCTTCGTTGCCTGCACCGCCGAAGTCGCCCGACATTCTATGGGAGCCATTGAATGATTGAGTGTGGTGAGGGCGGACATCCACCGGAGAAGAGGGGATGGATGAACGAGGCGTATGAGGCGACCGAGGCGACCGGTAGGAGAAGCCGTTGGGAGCGTAGGTGCCAGGAGAAATGGGGTCGATGTCGATGTTGGAGGAGCGACTCCGAGTATGGCGGTGAGATATAGTCAGGGGAGGTGGGATGGACGGCATGTTGCAGGATTAAAGGAGGGGAAAGGAGAAAGACGAGGATGCGGTGTGCTCGTTTGAGAGTCAAGGGGATAGTTTGACGGAAAGACTTCGACGGTCTAAACAAGCGAAACAGGGGGTGGTTTGTTGTAGATTCTTTGCAAGTCGTTAAGTGGCTGCCGCGAAGTAAATAACGAACAGGGGAACGGAAATCAATGGTGGATCGCCGACCGCATCACCAGGATGCTTTTCCACGCAGTCAGTTCTAAAGGACGGGGAGAAAGGAGGAAAAGGTAAAGGAACGAAGAATCGAGACCGGCTATCCCGAGAACGAAAGAGTCGAAAAAGAAATAGAGAATGAGCCGGAGAGAGAAAGAGAGAGACAGAGAGAGAGAGAGAGAAAATAGCAGAGACAACCAACAATAATAATAATGAGGGGGGCACAGAAGGAGAGGGAGAAAGAAGCCCGACCCTCAAAAAGATCTCCTCCCCGTGACCGCCCAAGCCCCGATTGACTCGCCGATCAACTCCCCAAATTGCTTCATCTTCCCCTCCATTTATTAGACTATCTTCTTGAAAACCACCGCTCACTTCTCCCGCAAAAACACCCACACCCACAATGAGCTCCATCCGGCGCATGTCCCCAACGGACCTCCTGTCCCTCAACCTCACCAACCTCGACCCATTGACCGAAAACTACGATCTCGGATTCTACCTCAATTACCTTATGCGATGGCCGTCCCTCTTTAGCAGCATTCAAGATCGCCAGGAAGGCATCGTGGGTTACAGTGAGTTCTTTCCAACCACACCCTGAACAACACATGATATGGACCCTCCGTATTGCAAGGATCACGACTAATACGAATACTCAGTCATGGGCAAGCTTGAAGAACAACCCGCCTCGATGCGCCATTCCGAACACTACACGCCCTGGCACGGCCACATTACCGTTTTAACCGTTGCGCCCGCATGGCGCCGTCTCGGCCACGCGCGTCGTCTTACCGAACGTCTGGAACAAGGCTCCGATATCAACGATGCCTGGTTTGTCGATCTCTATGTGCGAGCGGGAAATAAAGTTGCCGTGGGGATGTATAAGGGCATGGGGTGAGTTTATACCCTCTTTTCTACTTTTTCTTTCTTGAGCTTCCCCTGTCCAAGATTGCTTTTGTTCTCTTTTCTATGGTTCTCCACATAGAGATGATGATGGTGCTAATAGGGGTGTTTCACGCAGATACTCTGTCTTCCGCCGAGTAGTAAATTACTACAGCGACGACCCAACAGGCTTTTCGGATTCAGGTGAAGATGCCTTTGATATGCGCAAGCCATGCAGTCGCGATAAAAAACTTCAGCATATTCGGGACAATGGGGAGGAGTTCTTGGTGGATCCGATTCATGTTTCGTAGGGGAGTTTCTCTCTCTACGCTTCGCTTGGGGAGTGATGATGGATGGATCGGACGGGTCTAGGTATATATACATATGATGGAAGTGAGGACGGCAACAAAGGTTGAGGAATTATATAAGAGAAAAATGGCTTGTCGGTCGGTTGTTTCGAGCATTTGGTGTTTGGGCGTTTCCATTACTATTATTTCTACTATGCTGGGTTGATGAACGGACGTATCATGCCATGTCGTGCTATGCATGTTGAGGGGGACTAGGGTGACGGCGTGAATAGATTTCTTATGAGAATTGTAGTCACTAAAACCAAACTGGCTTGAGATGGTATCCATGCTGTCAAATACTTTCAATCAATATATATGGATCGTAATACATTAAGCAATATGTTCTAGTCTAGTCTTGAATCTTATCTATCGTATCAAAACATCAAACTTTTATCATCCCAGAAAAAGAAAAACCGGTTCTCCCATGATGCATGATGCAAATGCAATGCTTGAATGGAATATGCAATCCTTTTGGGTCATCAGGTATTAAGGTATCGGTCCTCATCGAGGCGCGTCGATGTGGTCGCGGCGTAGTTGAAGAGGGAATAGGAGTAGTGTGTTGTCAGATCGCGCTCACACACGCGCGGCAAGTCTCATACCCGAGCGAGAGAATCTCAGCGCGGCAAAGACGGAGGCAGACGTAATGAGACAGCAGGCTGTGAAGAGCTGCACTCCAAGGTAGCTGCCCGAGTTGCTCAGGATGGCTCCGCCGATAGGTGTACCGATCAGCAATCCGACAGAGGTGATTGCGAACACCATGCCAAGACGAGTTCCCAGGTCCCGTATGTCCTTGGTCAAAGTCACCATCACGACCGGCGGAAGTGACACGAAACCGCCGGAGCAGAGACCATACAGCACGGAAAGAACAATGATGCCCGGGGCATTGTGGACTCCGATCCAAGCAAAGGCGAGGATGGCGGTAGCGGTGGCTGCGGGAGTGAGGACGTTCAAGGGACCCGTGTGGTCGGCGATGAAATTCGGACAGATACGTCCAACGGTGGACCCCGCATTCAGCATGGAGAGCAGGTAGAATCCGAGGGTGGAACCGACAATTCCGGTATCGATGGCGTAGGATTGGATGTAGAAAAGGAAGTTGTAGAATCCAAGGAAACCCAAGAACATGCCAATGCAAAACATCACGAAATGCGGCTCCTTGAAGGCAGCCAACTGGACCAGCTTGCGCTTCTCTGTCGGCTGGAAGCGCATACGCATGATGCTGTATGAAATGCAACAGGTCCCGAAACAGAGGAAGCCGATAGCTCGAGTCGCCCAAGGAAAGCCCACCTTGTGCTGCAACTGGTCAAACATGATCGGGTAGATCACACCTCCGATACTGCTGCCCGAAGCGGCAAGACCATTGGCCAGGCCGCGTCTCTTCTTGAAGTACTGGGGCAGAATGGCGACGGATGGAACGAACAGGCATCCGGCAGCCAGGCCAATACAGATACCCTGGGCCAGGATCAGCTGCCAGAACTTGGTAGCAAGACTGGTCATCATCAACCCAAAGGGAAGCATAATGCTTCCAAACGTGAGCAGAGCACGGAAGTAGCCTGCATCGAAGAGAGGTCCTGTTACCACACCAAAAAGCATGAGTAGGAAAGCCTGGAGTGAGCCAATCCAGGCGATGTTGGACGATGACATGTTCGACAACAAATTCTGTTCATAATACGTTTGGAAAGCACCCCAGGTGTTAATGACACCCCTGGCCGTCATTCTTCGTCAGTTGATGCCCTACATGAGACTTGAGTATAGGGCCACACATACCATGAGTTGAAGAAAAGAAAGAAAGAGCCTAGCACTTGGATCCATGACTTGAAGCCGGTATCAAATGTCGGTTCTTCTAAGGGTTTCTCATCTGACGGAGTAGGAAGCTCATGGACATCGCCATTGTTGTTGGCAGCGAGGGATCCCGCAACAGCCTTCTCGTCGTAATCAGCATTGGTTCCCATTTTCCACCCCGATAATAAGCGATCAGACGGACCGTCTGGTGGAGTGGACGATAAAGGTAAGGGTTGGAGGGCGAAACAGACAGCGGATCAGATAATCCCCGTGGTAGTCGACGTGAATGCAGCCCAAACAACACTCACAGAGAACTTGAATTACCACGTAAGATGAATTCCTCAGGACCGGGGGACTAGGAGCAAGGAGGAGGTCGAGCCCAGGTGGAGGTCAGGCTCACACTATATACTGTGATTAGAAATGAATCATAGCGGCACACAGTAAAAATTTATTAAGGTAGTGCCTCCAAGCCCCGGCTAAGACTAAGCTTGGGAGCTAGAAAAGCAGACTCAACCAAGACTGAGTAGGGGGGTCCACTCCCAGGTGGCCATTCATGTTGACTGATCCCCTGGGAGTGGGAATGGAGACAGTCAAGTGAACCAGGCTCTGGCTGATGCCCCATTGTGGGAAGAGAGCCTACTGGACCAGCAACGAGCGGGTTCCGGGTAAGCGATGGAGTCACTTGCCGAGGGACGGAGCCACAGAGCCCTTTCTTTCCCCAGGAACATGTCTTGATGTGTTGTCGGGGAGTTGGAGAAGTGAGAACACGAGCATGAGAAATTGGGGAAAGCAAAGGGACGCCCTGCGCTTCACAACTACGGTTATTGCAGGTATGCTCTGCATAAGCACGATTGGAGGATGACTGCAGATAGTGGGCTTTTAGTGTGACAGCGTGCCGATTTATCCAGGCGGAGGGCCGAACTGCATATCACTTCTTTTTAGTCCATCCTGTACCTGGTCCGTTGACCTGCTCATTCTTGGCGAATGCGACGCTGGTTCGAATTCCTGAAACACGAATATATCACATCCTCCAGGCTTGACAGGTCAAGGGTCGGTCTGTCCATCTCTAGCCCAGTTATCCTTGAAGAACAGTCAGTGTATCTGGCGATAGAGAACATAATGATAGCAATGCCTACTGCGCACTGGACTGGCCCATCGAGAAGTATCAGCAGCAACAAGGAGGATGCTTGATTTGAGACCCTCGAGGCGCTTACTCGTAAGCTAGAAAATGCGGGATTGAAATACCTCGGAGTTATCGGTCTTCGTTCCGGGTCTGGGTCCCGAAACAAGACGGCGTCGTCGCCGATGAAGATCGGCTGGCAGAAAAAAAAAGGTGAGCAAACCACGGATCGGTGAGCACTTGCGGATCTGCTTGATACGTAGACCGAATATAACCTGTGACTGCGCAAGTGAAAGTGGCTGACCGACTCGAGAAAGCATGAGAAGAAATCATACCAGTCTATCCATGCCTTGAAACCGAGCAGAAGAGAGAAGTTGTGTTGCTCAATAATGGGCTGACCACATGCCGCCAATCACGGGATGTCATCTTGCATTAGTGCTTTTCGTGCAGTTCGGCAATGCGAGACAAGCCACGACGTTCGAACTGTGCTCTCCGACTCGGCTGTTTCAGCCGATTCACTGGCGGTCAGAGAAGCGCGGACCGAAGTCCGTACAGACAATGTCTATCAAGCAAGCCATCTACTCGTCCCATTTATACTCCGAATGAGGCATTTGTGTCGCCTAGATCAACTTACCGATGACTCTTAACAAGTATTCATGAGCAACACATTGGGCTAAGCATCTCTCTTATGATGCCTACTTGTTCTGTGGAGGTTTTCAAGAGCAGGGATGTCGAAGCACTTAACAAGTCAAACGACTTTATGACGTGGTCAATAAGAATGAAGCGCATACAGGATAGGCCATCATGTCCTACAAGGACCCGTCGCAGCCTGATGCGAGCATCTGGAGCATGTCATATCTCACAGAGGAATGCTCGCGAGACAACTTATCTACCGGGAATGTGGGAACGGTGCCATGTGAGGAGTTGACGCCATACTTGCAGTTGCATCAGAGCCCCAAAGCATCCATCTGCAACAGTGCCAAACACAAAGTACCTTTTCTGTTACCTCCTTCATCTCCAATTTGGAGTCACCATCCCAATCAGGACATGAAAACAGACCCGTCGATGTTGATTCTACATCCGAGTCCACCTCTGTGGAGCGCTCTGTCTGGCTCACATGTGAAGACGTCGTTTGCTTCCAAAGCAGTAGATTGCGAACAAAAGGCCTAGACTGTGCCAAACGAAAGCATGTCAACATCAAACTTTTTTAAATTTTACTAATATATAGACTGCAGTGCGTTATTCTTTTGAGTTTTCTTTGTCTTCCCAGTGTCCCAGTGGCTGCCTAGGCCAGTATGGCCCGCTACCCTACTCCGAAACTCCAAACGCTATGCTGCCCAGAGGGAAAGATCCTTAGACCAAACACATACACAATAAAGTAAGAAGAAGCCATTTGGCAAAATACAACCACCTATGTCGTCTCCGCGTCTAGAGTAATTCTTCGCAAGTCCAGTCCTCGTACCTGTACCACAGAAATAGTGATTAGATCGAATACGTCAAATCGTTAAACCCACATGGAGAAGGTCCGCTTACCATCCGTCGGGAAGATATCTCCGCACAATCAGTGGGATCTTCTTCTGGTTCAACTCCTTGATGGCGATCTGTAGAGGATCCGTCTCGCCCTCAAGATCGACGAGCACCGGGGCGTTCATACTAAAAACATGGTCAGCATCCGATTGCGCTCCTCAGCCCATGCTTGATGCTGCATCGATTGCCGAGACGAACCTGATCTGCAGCGCCCGAGTACCCAGGACACGCGCGCGCTCGTACTTGGTCATGTATGGAGTTGTCTGGCGCTGGTCGTTCGGGACCTTCTTCTCCCGTGTCTGTTCCATGACCTTGCCCGCATACCCCGCATTCGGGTCGCCTGAAGCGACAATGTGGTTTCCGTTGACAGCAGGCGCGTATGAGCCTTCGCCATATTCATCAGCTCCTCCTTCTGCGACGTCGACATCCTCGGGGTTTAAGAAGTCCTCGGGCTCGTTGTCATCGTACTCCTGCTCCGGCTCGTAGTCGTAACTATAAGACAATCCTAGTCAGAACATCGGAATTTCCACCTAGCAAGAATGATGGCCATCGATATGTAACGCAGACGCGCAGCATTGACCTGCGCAAGCTCAAGCTCTCATGGGGTACCGGTCTCTTACGTTTCCTCAGCGTCGTGGTCTCCGTAGTCAGACATGGTGGCGGATTAAGTTGAACAGAATTGGGATGAAACACCAATCGAATAAGACAGCAATGAAGACAATGGCAGCACCGCGACCGGGCCGGGTTGGGGACGAGACGATAAACTGTTGCGACGGGCTTTTCTTCCTCGTGAAGAAATCGAAGTCGCGACTCTCAGAATCCGGAAAAAGTTCCTGTCGCTCGTCCGGCGCTAGTCTTCTTTGGGTGCCGCTGTTCACCGCCTCGGCAAAATTTCTGGATGTCGTCGTGCAGCCATCACTTTTTCCTTCATTCTTCTTTCCTTCCTGTCGCTAGTCCAGTGCTCATTAGTCAGGCTTGGATGGTCTGAAGGACCGCGGAGCTATGGCTCAGAAGCGAAAAGCCTCGGGGGACCTCCCCAACCCGAAGCGGGTACAAAGCCGGACAACGCTGGACGATGTCGGTAAGATATGCCTAGAGACCGAGTCTAGATTCCGGCTGATACTAAATGTCTTTCATATACTCCAGACCCAATATATGAAGAAAAGCACTCCGACCCCGAGTATGAATTTTCGGATGACTCCAGTGTCGCTAGCGGTAGTCTTCATGAGACTCCAGCTACTCCGATGTCCACTATCTCCGCTAGATATCCTTCAGAGCTGAAAACTCACCGCTGCCCTTTCGACGGTTGCACGAAGGCCTTCAACCGTCCAGCACGACTACAGGAACACCTGCGCTCACACAACAATGAACGACTATTCCGTTGTACCCACGACGATTGCGATAAGACGTTTCTCCGAGCATCGCATCTGAGCCATCACATCAAGAGCGCCCATACCGGAATCAGAGATTACGTATGCGACCGTCCGGGATGTGGGAAGAGCTTTGTAACTGGCTCACGGCTTCGTCGACATATAGCTGCTCATGATGGAAGAGACAAGTACCGCTGCACAGAGTTTCCGCCCTGTGATGAGACCTTCCGAAAACACTCGACGCTCCAAAAACACATCATGAGCGTGCATTTGAAACAGAAACCCTTCTCTTGCCCGCACATCGACGCAACTACCGGCCAGAAATGTCCAATGGCATTTGATACCGCAGGACACCTTCGAGCTCATGAGAGTCGCATCCACACCGAGAAACGATTCACCTGCACGGAGTGTACTCAGCAGGCCGAGCAGGCCAACCCATCATCATCCGAGACTCCCGCTCTCACTACAGTAACATTCCCGACTTACGCCCTCCTCCAAGCTCACATCCGAACTGTCCACCCCCCACAATGTCCCAATTGCAACCTGACCTGTTCCACGGCCCGAGAGCTCCGCCGTCATCTGGAGGTCAGCCACGGTAACGTGAGTCTGGAAGAGCGAAAAGTCTTCCCCTGCACCATACCAGGTTGCGATAGCAGCTTCACCAAGAAGGGAAACCTAACTGTGCACATCCGCACCGTCCACCAAGGCGAGAAGCGCTTCGTCTGCGGCGAGACCGACCTTTCCATGTCCAAGCGAGTCGTCGGCTGGACGGGAGCCGACGGCTGCGGAAAACGCTACGGGAGTAAACTCGCCCTGGAGGAGCACATTCGCACCGCGCACCTCGGCTTTCCCAACGCCAAAGCTGAGCGTCGACAGCGTCTTGGTTTGAACAAGACACCGAACCCTCAGCAAACCGCTCCTTCCGCATTGGCCGCTCTCACAGGTGAGGGTTATGCTGAAGAAACTGGCCGACAGATCACCTGCTTCATCGAAGGCTGTCCGCACCGGTTCCACCGGAATTACGATCTGTGGGTCCATATGGGGAGTAAGCACGGATGCACCGAGGACGAGATTCGCGATATGTTCATGCAGCGCGCGCTATTGGCGGACAGCAATGAGCCCGTTACCGGCGATATGTTTGGTATCTATGGACTCGAGTTCGATAACGATGACTCCTCCGCCCCATATGAACCGTATATCATACATGCAGATTCAAAAGCTGGTCTATATACGATGGGCAGTGGTGGTGACCCCACAAATAATGAAAACAACCCCGGCGACTTCCCCAGCAACTTTGCTGATGCCATGATTCAAGATGTCGATGTCGATGTTTCTTCTTCTTCTAAGATACCCAGTGCTGATGATATGGCGATGATTGATCCTTTGTTGGCGTATAATATGGCGGATTCATAGGGGCATTCTTTTTTTCTTACTACCATATCCGGTCTACCTACGTTTGTTTTGTCACAATTTCGGGCTACATAACATTACTTCACGAGCAGAAGATACGTAAAATAAATATAATGAATCATCTCTAGTGTCTATTTTTGGTTTTCACTCTCTCCCTTTTGATTCCTACCCTTCTCTCTATCCATGGTTTTGTCTCGAATGATCGAGCCTCTAGCTAGGTAGTGCCTCTAGATGAGTTAAATGCGAACTGCAACAGGTTTCCCACACCATCAGGCCCCAAGATGCGCTGCACCAGTTTCCACATGCATAATAGACAAGGGAAAAATGTGGATAGGGGAATACATCAGTAAGTCATTTTCACATCCCATGCAATATGCAATATCATCAGTGTCGTCAGCCTCATGTATAGTCAACCCGCCAGCCGTCCGGCTGGCGAAGCGGCATCAAGTCGAGAGAGGAGATTTTCAAATAGAGAGCCAAGCAAAAAAAAAAAAAAAAAAAAAAAAAAAAAAAAAAAAAAAAAAAAAAAAAAAAAAAAAAAAAAAAAAAAAAAAAATGAGTAGTCAGTAGTATACACAACAATGCATGCAGGCACCTTGGCCAGCAAGGGTAATGAATGAATGAGTCAAAGTAATACAATCACGAACGAGAACAATAAAGGGGCGGGTCCCAAACGATGTCATCAGACCCTTTTCACAAATGTTGCACGGTTGCCGCGGCGATCTCCCTAGGAGGTGAAAAAAGAGGGTTGCCCTATAGATAGTAAAGTCAGCTTACGGTTGCACATACAGAAGGTGGGTGATGTGAAGTGAGCTTGAATCAGGAAAAACGTCAACAAATGAGCTATAGGGATGAACCACTGTGAGGTGAGGTGAGATGACTTTGCTTTTTTGTCATTTTGCCTAATACATAAAGTGGGAAAGAAAGGAGATGGGATAGCGAGTTTGCATCTTCTTCATCGATCCTGGATTGGCCCCTGTTTCGACGATAACGTCAGCTTCTCCGGCCCACGGTCTTCGCCTACTGCTCTTGACTGCCAGAGTTAGAGCAATTTGGCAATGACATGGGCGTACGGTAAGTGTCATAGTGTCGAAACTGGTGCACCCTGGAGATTGGGTTGGCTATTGTAGGAAATGAGAGGAATCCATAACAACTGATGGGGTTTTGTGGGTTTTCTGAAGCATGGCTCGCGTTTGCCAATCAATGGACTGAACTTTGATTACCATACCTTCTTCTTGCTTTCGACAGAGTGGAGAGATTTTCTTTTGAGTTTCAATTCTCATGTGAGATCGATCAGAGACGTTCGTAAAGTATGTTGTTCAGATCGCAGCTGACATATGGGTGAGGGTGTTCTGATATGGCTCGTAAATCCTGAAAGCCCAAGATGTTTAGTCACCAAGGACAGACTGAGACGTATTCGATCTGATCAAGAAAATCAGGCTGCATCTCTTGAGAGGGCGTAGCCGGTTCAGGTTCCTCAGGAATCGGAGAAGGAGATTTCACAGGAAGCTGGGAAGACGCAATGTTAGCAAAGGAATGCAAAGTGACCTAACTAAAGGAATTTCCTTGACTTGCCGGATCCTTCTGGGGCCACTTCTCCGTGTTGGTTCTCTTCCACAGCACAAGCCTTCTCGATCATCTTCGCCTTCTTGCGAAACGAGCATTTGGGAGGCGTAGCAGTTAGCTTTATATCCCTGGCCGTGTTGATGCGAAGCAATGAAAGGGTCTTTGTTAGGTCCTTCTCCAGGTTTTTGTCTGAATCAACTACGTCTTCGAAGTAACCACGATTGGTATTTTCGTCGGACTGCTTGAATGGGACAGGAGTGGACGGCGTGGACTTGATTCCGGCAATGGAGACTCTTGTCTGGGCCAGATGCCGCAGAAATCGGATATATGGCTCGTTTGCCGTTGGGGAGGGCTTATGAGTCGTGAAAAGTCGAGCGACATCACAGAACAGATGCACAGCTGGGAGGCCTCTCGCCAAACCCAGCCAAAGTGCAGTCTTGAGTAAAAGATCGAAGGCTCCGTTCTCATGCTCGAACTCCCATCTTACCAAGTCGCCTACCTGAGCTATCTCTGCGGACAAGCGTGGCGGCGCAAGTCCCTGGGGTGGGAGCCAGCCCCATGCACGGGCTTTGTCCGGCTTGTGTGCGCAGGTATAGGCCTTGTAAGCGTGAAAGAAAGAAGTGAGTACGATGGCAGAGTCCATATAGCCTTCCCAAGAAAGTGAGGCCTTGCATGCGTCAATCCGAAGTTGTTTGATACTCAGCAGAGCGGTGCGTTCTGTGGACACGGGAAGAGGATTGTAGATTTTTCCTATGCTACATTAGACTGATGGGTTTTCACAGGTTCAACTTGGGATTGTCACTCACTGTCCTCCGTGTCCAGTTTCATCGCAACCATGACATCGCTTTTGAACAATTCGATGACCCTGATAGATGCTTCAAGCTGCTCACGAGCTTTGCTAGGACTTGCACGCCGAGAGTTGAGCCAGAACACCGGCTTATCAGATTCCTTGCGCAGGAATGCTAACATCTTCCTCAAGATCTCAATCTCAGCCCCGAAATACGTCTCATCGGTTATGTTCGTTTCTTGACGTTCGGTGTCGATCTTGTTGAGAACCTGCGGATATCGTTTCAAAAGCCATTCCTCTAGTTTCATCTGGGTAGCGTGCATCTTGTCATCACTTTCGAACAGCATGCTCAGAAGATGCTCGTAGGAACCTGGGAATATATCTTTGAGGATACCGGGGAGCGAGTTAGAGACCTCATCGACGAAAGTTCCAGGATCAAAACCTCTGGTAAATTCTATCATCAGTTGGTCAAGCCTCTCATTCTCAGCCTCGATAATCTCCTCAGCTTTCTCTTCCACCATCGCACAGGTGTCCGTAGGCTCATCAAGTATGATGTCGATCGGCTCGGCGACCATCTCCTGAATCGGTGCAGGGACGACCGGAGAAGAGCAGATGAGATCCATGGCGACAGTCCGATCAAGGCATACCAAATTTTGACCTTATATTCGACGTTGTTTAGGTTTGAGATTGAAAGGGAATATGAAAGGGAGGAAGAATAACACACCAAGAGACTACCTGTTATTGTCGAAGGCACTGCGGATATTCCAATCCTTTGACAGTCTGCCCCGCAGACCGGGGTGTGCTTTCTAAAAGTGTTCACACACTTCAGGTATGCTTGGGGGAGAGGGAGATGACTTGATGATATGAAGACGCGATTAGGGAATCTCGAAAAGTTGGTTTTGGAAGGATTCAACAAAGGAAGCGAAAGGAGATTCGAGTAGCAAGTATACAAGCGAACACAAGGTGAAGAGGAGCAGAAGCAAGTCCTGACACGCGCAGTGAATGAAAGGCCCAGTGAAAACCAGAGAGTTGCATTGACGGTAGGGAAAGACACACTCTGCCCATCACTTAGTCCCACTAATGCCAGCAATATAAATGGATGTACCAGGACTCTTTTGCCTTGGTTAGTACCAGCGTCAGCTTACCCATAAGGTGAGAATACCATAGCCATAGGATGCCATGAAGGACTGGCAGAGATATTCAAGTCCTTTCCTTCATTTTCAGGTGTGTCATCTTAGATAACACTCCAGTATACCTTCTCTTGGGAAAATCGCAGATGAGATAAGTATTTGCAGACGGCTATACGATGCTAAAGAACGGTATTGATGTAAGTTGAGCAAAGCGAGACCTGTCGGACTCCCACGAACCTCACTGTCCAGACTGGTCAGTGGAGTTAGTACTTACGACTGAGACCCTACGATTTATGCCGAGTATCCTCCATATCACGGGATATCCCTGATAAGTGCATCCACAACTAGGTTCGAGCAGGGAAGCTTGTACGAATCCACATGAACATGAAGAGTGACAACACAATCGAAAAGTCGACCTCTTCAGATCACGAAATCGGACCTGACGCTAGTAATCAAAGATGACTGCGCGACCCAGTCTAGGACCCGGTGACAGTTTATGCCTGAGGTAACATGGAGTTACAGCAAAGATAGTCTTCACGACATGATTCAATACCGTCGATCCATACCCACGAGTCACCAGGGTATGAGACGTGATGGGCAGATGACCAAATGTCAGATACGGGAGAACACTTAGATGATCAGGTACTCATATTAGCCCCTCCAATTTAGATTGCAAAAGCCCGACTGCTTTAGCTTGACAAACACCACGATGTGTTTTCCTGGTTTTTACATTCTGCGGAAGCTTTATGAAGCCTTATACGTCCGATACTGGTGGGGGGGAGGGTCTCAAACTCAAGACTGATGAAATTTGCATCCAGCCAACGTACAAATGTGATGAATTCGAAGTATTTGGAAATGCATTTGCCTAGACATGTCATTTTCGTCAGGGCTATATTACGATGTTGTAGGTCAGAAGACCCTTTGACCCATGAGAACACTAAAAGGCACATGACAGCCGACAGATATGGCCTTGGCAGGCACAGATATCTGACAAGGTGAGAAGCATGGCAATCGCAGTTTCGATTATCGATATTTGGGGTTCCGACAGTCACTCCAGTCCATAGGACCCTGCAGGATGTCTGCGAAGGAACAGGTACAGGTTCCCCTCCCCCTAAGTGGGGCTCGTACTGTATGCCCTCTACTAGAAATATACTCGTAAATATATTGACAGCAAGCAACCGAACTGCCACTACCTTCTGTATGCAGTTAAAATGACTATACGTGAAACACGCTCACCGAGGGTAAACCTATCACTGAGCTTGTCCATAAGCCGAAACTCAATTGCAGCAGACTCCACTGAGTCGGGGTGTGCTAAAGCAAGTGGAGACAGGGAGGGCCTCCGTCAAAGGTGAAACAGAGCAAGACTCATGTGGCAGAAGATCGCTTCGGACTTGGGGGATCTTCACTCTTTCATCATCATCTCCTTCTTTGTAGTTTGTACGTTGTATCGCCCCTTCTTCAAAACTGAGTCTTAGTTAGTCTGCGGTAAGGCCAGGAGAGAAAGCCGTCGTACCACCCTAGTCAAGATTGATTGCATCATGACAACCGCAAGGCTGATCCTGCAATCGTGTCCCAATGATAATCTCCAAGGGAACGAAGATCAAGTGAGTAAATTTTCGTAAGCGGGGAAACATGATGGAGGAAAACTGGTTGGATCATCGAAAATACTGGCGAGCACAGGATATGCCTACGTGGTAGGAGAAGCTTTTCCCGCGCTGGGTCCCTACAGCTGAGGTCATGTTGCCGAAATTATCTCCTAACCAGCAATGATCGCTGCTAGGAGTTTGCGCGTCAAGCCTGCGATCATCTTTGGGGAGCTCCGCAGTCTTGAGCAGACTAAGAGGGGAAACACCCTGGCTGGTGGGTCACGGGCTGGGGTTTGCACTACAGAGTGCGTACACCCTGTTGAACACCTCAGAGTAGAAGTACGTGCTTCTAGAAAAGGACATGATTTGATCACTCGTGGTGCTGACCAGCCACAGTAAACTAACAATTTATTTTATCGGTGGCTCTGGTCGAGGGGAGAGGATGCTGAGCAATAATAAGGCGTCTTATCAACGGGGCAAATCCTGATTACAGCCTGCGTTAAGGTTACATAACCTGCAGCATCAAGAATAAAGTTGATGCTCTCTGCTCAACCCAATCTCTAAGGTCTTCCAAGAGCAAATGCCGCAACCACTTTAGGCGAGGCTAAAATTGCGGATGGCTACTCTGCAATGTCCGCAGCAGAGGAAGGACCCTTGCTAATTAATTGCTTTGCTCGGATAGCAGGGTACCGACATACGACTAACAATATCCAACCCCAGCCGCTTATGATTTTAGATTCAAACTAAACAAGTTCACCTTAATCTTAGCCTCGTACCTCAGCAGGGGTATATGCTTCCGGAACTATTCTTATCTTTATAGGCTTGGTCTGAGCTGCGACTTGGAGATCCATTCCAATCACTGCAGGCAATTTTGGACATTTATGGCATCCCGGTTATTTATAGTGTGAAAATCAAGTTGGGAAACAAGGAGCACAGCGGACTAACTATCGATTAGCTGCTAAAGAAGTATTCAGTGAAGCTTCCCGCCAAGATCATCTGATGCCGTGTGGCACGGCGGGCCTGTGGCAGTGCGCCAGTGGATTATTGACTCCCGGACCATTCCTCTTTCTGACTGTCGCCTTGCATTCTTCCGTCCACAAGGGACAAGGGACACGACGACGCCTTTCCCTCCCCATCCATCCATCCAATCGTACCATGATATACCCTCGCTCGAGGACTAATACTTTCGCATTACGAGGGTCAGTCTAAGTTTTTTCTGGCTGCTAGATAAGAGACCAGCAGATACGATGACTGGTTAGGCTGTGCTTGGCGTGTACGTTGTCTCCTCTCCTCACCTCGTGGGCGAGAAACATGGATTGATGAGCAGAGGCAAAAACAAAGGACAGCCGGTGGAATTGGCTGGGAAGTGGCAGTCGTAGTTAAGACATGCAGGCCTACGTTTCTATATTTGGCGAGATGGTGGGATGCAACCATTGGATTGGCCTCTTATTTTTATTCACAGCATGAGCTGATTGGAGGCAGTGCCAGAGTCAGTTACGCGGGGGGCGTGCTTTTTTAGTGGGATAAACTGGGATAATCCACCAGGCCACCCATGGGTTGCTCGGATGGCTGACTGACGGGGAATGACAGTAAATACTGACTCAATAATACCACATAGGTGTCCATTTCTTATTTCTTTTCTAATGAATATTATGATGATTATTATTATTATAATATCATTTTATTAGCACTGTTTCCTTTTGATTACTAGCGATTCGGTTCGCTGGTTCTACTAGTGACCCATTTATTGTCAATTCATCTCTTGCAGCAAGCCAGGCAATAACTAATATCCCGGGTATTACCCCGTACTTTGTTAGGTGACCTGCAGTTATTTTTCTATGATCCATGCCGATCGCACTGAGATGACTCTTGGGGGGAAGGGAGATTCAAGCAGCAGGGGCAGGGGATCGGAGTTTAACAAAGAGGAAAGGAAAAGAAAAGGGCAATAATAAAAACGAAATGCGAGACTGGCCCGTCCGTCTGGGACCATCTTTAGTGTAAAGGAGGCACATTAGTTTCAAGTCGGATTGTAGCCACATGCGATGACGCCAGCCGCCAGGCAGACAAGCCGGGCCAGAACCACTTCGCGGTACCGTAACACATAACACACAACCATACTTACCCAAGTATTGACCCGCAGGTCCATCCAGCATGACGGATGGAGTTATTCTGCGGCTTCGTCTTCACCATCTGACCGGCTCTTTCAAAGGGAATGTCTTCCCTCTCACGCCGTGACTTCCTATACCCAATTACTACGAGGGTGTTTTATGTGGCACCTCCATTCGGAATGTTGACAAACAATAGCAACAAATAACACCCAGATCCACTCTCCTTCAGTCTCAAAGGAGGAAAGAAGAAAACAAGCAGCCGACCCTACTATAAGTCCGGTAACACTTGTTACACTCACAACATTCAAGACCCACGTCTTAGACTGGGTAAGTAAGTTGATCGTCCTCCAACGCTCGTCGGCTTGTGCTTCCTTTCACTGATCCTCTATGCTTCCTTCTGTCCAGCTTGCCCTTTTTTTTCTATTTTGTTTCCCTCTCTGTCGCCTCACTCGCTCTATATCTCTCCCCCTGCCTCTCCTTTCCTTCGCTTTCCGACTCATTCCCCTCTTTCTCCGCCATCGAATCCTGAGACATCAAGTGGCCTAGTCAGGCGCTTGCAAAGCTGACTTTGCGCCATCATCCGCTATCTTGGCACTTGTTCCAGCATTGCCGCGGTCTTATTTGCCCTTCCGCTCCTGTCTTTCGTTTGGGCGCCTCCCCCAATTCCCACCGGGAACTTGATGGAATCAAACTTCCTGATCTAGTATTGGCGGGTCCGGACACATCGTCGCTATCTCCGTGCGGAGGAGCTGGACTCAGTACACACTTCTTTCTTCTTCGCCTACTCTTTCGCCTCTCGTTCTCTCCCCATTTATTTCCGTAGCAGCACTATTCGGCCCCAACCCTTCCGCGCAGACTGCATGTTCGTTGTGTAACACAGATAACACAAATCCTACTTTTCCGAGTGAGCTGGAAGCCGGTCTTCAGTTCTGTTATCTCTTTGGGCTATAACCAAGTTTGGCCATCATGGGTCGCTCGCGTGGTAGGTCATTAGCATATCCTCTTATACTTCCCCTACGAACTACAGATGACGGTGATTGACACCCCTTGCGCTACCAGTGCTTTCTCTCATGTCGGTCTTCGGGGGATCGTCCCGTAAAGACAACCTCAGCCAGCATCACCGGACATCCTCGGCCTCTCTCACACTGAACAATCCTCCGCGAAGAGTAGACACGCCTTCTTCGGATACCCCCTCGCCTCTCGATGCTTCGCCGATAACCGGGACTCCACATGTCGAACGACGGGTAACATCGCGGCCGGAGTCGACGCTGTTCTCTCACAATCCTCCGTTGCTGGAGTTTTCGCAGGATACCCCTCCGGAGCTCCAACCAATCTTCGGATATCTGAACAGCCATGCCAACAAGCTATACCATGAAGGCTATTTTCTCAAGTTGAACGATTTGGACATTCGTGCGTATCCCATGAGTTTTGTTATAGTCCAATGTCATATTAATTACAGATTATCGCAGATGGTCGTCCCTGTGCTGATCGCCAGTGGGTTGAATGCTATGCGCAGCTTGTCGGAACCGCTCTTTCTTTATGGGATGCCGCAGCGCTGGACGCCGCAGAAGAGTCGGAAGACGTATGCCCTACTTTCATTAACTTAGCTGATGCTTCAATAAAGATGGTGAGATAATGCAATCTCAGATGTTGCGGCTCTTGGTTTTGATTATTGACTGTCGCCGGTCTAGCTTGAAACACTACCAACGAGAAACCAAGGAGCACAGTCTCTGAAGAACATCTTGAGTATATGTTCCGCTGGTCAAAACAGATACCTTCTGCACTTTAATTCTTTCCACTCTCTGACCCAGTGGACCGCAGCCATACGACTGGCCTTGTTCGAACATACATCCTTATATGAGGCATATACGGGTTCGATCATTGCGGGCAAAGGTAAAGGTCTCAACAGTATTAGAACCATCTTGGATCGCCACCGTTACAAACACGAGGATTGGGCCCGCGTGAGGTTTGGGGCAGGCACGCCCTGGAGACGGTGCTGGTTTGTGATTACTCCCCCGAACGAGAAGGAATTCCAGAAAGCGCAGAAATCGATAAAGAAGAAGTCGGCATATGATCGAGCACCCCGACTCATAACTGGCGACATCAAATTCTATGATACGAAGAAGACTAAGAAAGCGAAGCCTATTGCGACCATCACTGATGCTTACGCCGCTTACGCCATCTATCCTCAGTCGAGGGCGTTGATCGAACAGTCGACCTTGGTCAAGATTGAAGGAAAGATTACGGTCCACGGACAAACAGAGTCGACAACAGACGGGTTTGTCTTTGTCATGCCCGAAGTCCATCCTGCGGTTTCTGGGTTTGAAATGATGCTCCGGTTTCTCGTCCCTACTTTTGACACGTTCAACCTTTATGGGCGGCCCACCCGCCTTATTGCCGCCACCAACCATATCAAGAGCATTATGTTTGCCTTCCCCAATCAAAGGCGCTATGGCTATCTTGATATTTTAGACATCTCTAGTCTAATGCAGACACCAGGAAGTCAGGATTGGAACGAGGCGGAATGGAGACAGCAACTCAAGGAGGCTACAGCGCGTCGCATGGCGGCTGCTGGAAGCAGGACGAGCAGTATCTCTGCGAGTAAGCCACGCTTCAGGGCTACAATGCCGAACAGACAAGCCAACGGCCGCACCATGACGCATCAACGCAACTGCACTTCCCCAGTTAACCAGCTGGATTCCAACCAGTCCAACGACGCTGTCGCGCCTGGTGCCCCCGGTGATGCTTCCATCTCTCCAATTCATCATAGCAGGGCCTCTTCGGACACTGCCGGATTTGCTTCCATCAGGAGACAAGCGCAAGCCGCCGAAGTGTCCCCAGCATCCTCCGCTCAGGAACTTGTGGCACGTGGCAGCGAACGCCCTGGTACTAGCGGGGTAGACGATCACAGAAGCACCGGGAGCGACAGGAACCAGCGACTTGACCCCGACGATGAGCCGCTCGGACATCACTTCCGTTCAACCTCTCCTCCATCTCCCGTAATCCAGCCGCCAGCCTTCACACACGCACCGGGAGAAATGCCCGCAATGCGACCTCAGCCTTCACCGGATTTGAGAAAAGCAAATAATAGGATGTCTGACGCTACCCTGACACAGCTTCTCGCTGCCTCTGGAAGCATGAATCTACTTGGCGCTTCTTTCCCTTCAGGCAGCCATGAAACGATCAGGGAATCCAACCAGCCTAGTCCGCTAACACCTAACACTGGCTCTGATCAACAGGGTGCGCCATCGCTCTTATCAGATACAAGCGAGAAGAGAGTTACCCTTCAGGAACAAGGCCCACCAACCCCTGAGGATCGTTCGAGTGACTTCGGCCCACCGCTCACTTTGCCGAAGAGATCGAGTCTTCGTTTAGATACAACCAAGGCCGTGAAACGGAAGCCTCTGCCTGCGCAACAGATCCGAGAATCCGATGCCGCAAGTGTTGCAGGGGAGCCTAGCTACGATGACCTACGTCATACTGTTGATGAAGAGGTCCTGAATTGGGTCGGCTCTCGCCAATTTTCGCTCACTTCGCCTGATATAGAGAGCCATCAGGATGAGGAAAGCATCTATGATGACGCGTCTGCAAATTCTCCAGATTATGCCAGTACTCGGGGGTCTGTCTACAGCAAGCGCTCGGTTAGGTCAGTCACTAGGCCCAGAATGGGAGTCATGAAAACCGTGGGATCGGGTCCCCCGAGACAAGACTTGGTCATCGGCGATGCGCATTACACCGTTGATGAACCAAAACTGGAACTCAGTGCCGAAATCCCCAGCATCGACTTCGGGCCGACCTTAACTTATCTACCTACAACTGGACGTCCCAATACGGGCGATACTTTGAAGAAATCCATGCACCAAAGGAGCGACTCAAATGCAACAGAAAAGCAGTTCTCTTACCAGGCAGAGCGACAGCACTCAAGATCTCCAAGTAGCAACGTGATGTGGCAGCCGGGTATGACTGCACCCCGTCCCACCACTCCAGGCAGGCTTACAGCGGAGCAATTCGTGCAACAACGATCAGCCCCAAGTCCCCCAATCGCCACCCATAACCGAACCCTTTCCTCTACACCGCCGCCCCCTCGGCCTGTTTCCGGGGACTGGACGAATAACTCTCGGCCTCAGTCACACTTGTCTGGCAGCCGAGATGCACCGCCTCGCCCACGTTCCCGCGGCGCCAACAGCATCATGAACTATAATGAACTGTCGTCACACCTCTCAGCTCGTGAACAGGAACATGTGGCTCGTATGACCGGTGCACCTTTACTCGACATATCCAACGTCAACAAAGCCCAGCCGACTCCGGTAAACCCTATGGGTCTGGTGGGAGCGATTGATGCTCGTGAGCGCGAGAAAAAGACCATCCGAGAAGGCCTGTCCAACCAAATGGTACAGCATGCAATTGTGCAACGCCAGCAAAATTGGCAACAACAGCAGATGGCTTCCAATGCTTCCGCAGCTGCCTACAATCAGGGCAGCCATTATAGTCTCTACAGTATGCCCACAGCGAACCGCACGTGGGATGCCCTCAACCAGCCTTACCGGCCAGACGAGCCCCGACGCCAGTCTTGGTACGGACAGTTCGCATCACAGCAGGCGCAGACTCCTCCAATCTACCAGCAAAACCCGCCTTATGGCCAACATCCCGGCTACTCTGGCAATGCCAGCACCCTGCATTACTGAGCCGGTTACTTTCAGCCCATCCTTCTCATCTCATCTCCTATTGTCTATCCTATCGCATCTTACTCTCCTTGGCGTAATTTCATGATCTAGTCTTTCTTTGCTTTACTTCACTTGCATTAGCCCCGTGAGCTTTCTCTACATATTAGAG